ATATATGCATGTGAAAGATGAAGAGTTTGTCCTGTAAGCGTTTCATACCAACAATCATCCACCATGTGGCGCTTTTTCTCCTTTTTTTTTTTTGGAAAACATTTTACATCAAAGATGCCGTCGTTATAAAATATCTCACTCCATTGTTTTTTAAATGATCTTATAGTCTATTTTTGCACATTCTACTCAGACTGCTTCAGATGTTTTTCTTTCTTTCCTTCCTTTTTTATTTTACATTTTCAGTTGATTTTTAGCGATTTGTAAAAATGGCCTTTGGAGTAAAGTAGATTGTTTTTTGTTTTTTTTTTTTGTTTTTTTTTGTTTTGTTTATGTCCGCTTTACCTTTATTGAAAATGACGACCTATAAAAACAAGTAGCTAAAGTGTGTAAAATTATCTAAACAAGCTGTGGCAATTTGCAAGATGTGTCCAGTTCATGTTTCATCAGGTCAGTTTCAAAACACATCTAGATCTTGCTACGGTGCCATTTGGGCCTCTGAACATTTAATTAAATAATAACAAGCAATTTGTCTCAGAAAACAAAAGCAAACAGAAAATGCTGCCAGTGTGGCAAAAATCTCGGATTCGCGCGGGCGTGAAGGTCTAATTTCAGAGGCGTCCCTGAAGGCACCACACAATGCCTCCTCCCATAGGAGAGCCTCCCCAAACAAACACAGACAAACCTCCATAGCCGCTTCTGTCCGACTTTAGTAGCAGGTTAAATGAATGGCTGCACTATTACAGCTGCTATTTAATATAGTTTACTTTTAATAATTACATGCGACGCTTGTCTCTGTCAGAAAAAGGAGGGTAAGTAGGTTTCTCACATTATTTTCTATTTTATTCTACTACTAACGAGATTGTCACAAACACTGTTCTATAGTTTAACTCTGAGCAATAAGAATGAGATGCAGGATTGTCTTGTAAAATACTTCAGCGCTCTGTTTGAAGGTTTCATTGCTGTATATTTGAAGGCATCTCCTCATTGGTGCTATTAACAGATTCATACTTTGCATCTCATTATTTATGATTTTCTTTGGGTTTTATAGTAGGAAAATGTCCTAAAACGTTATTCTAAATCTGTCCTAACTGGATGATGTTAGTTTATATGTTGCTTTATTGATAGAAACTCTCTTTAAGGAGTCATGCAATAAACAAGCATTTCAGGAGTTCACCTGCTTGCTGGACAAAATATGTGCATCTTAAGAAATTACTTAAGATTTTTTTTTTTTTTTTTTTTTTTAAGTGATTTTAAATATAAAACTATTTTATTGAGGAAATCATCACTGGTTTTAATAAAGGAGACAGTAGGATGCACCAATCGCATGTTTTATGACAAATTTGTGATGATTCTAATTAAATATTATAAGTAATAACATTCACAAAAGACCTGTACCAACATGCGTTAGATAGTTTTCTTTCTTTTTTACCTTTAAAACAAGAGCACAATAAATCAGTCATTATTTTGCCAATGGAACAAGACAATTTACATTTAAAATAAGAAAAAAAATTGCATCTAGTGCATATTATCTAATTATCTTATTTTAAGAGTAAAAGCACTAATTCCATTGGAAAACCATCTGATTTACCTACCAATTTTTGGAAAGACCCGCCTTCTCAGCTTTTAAACAAAAATGCACATGCACAACCCTCTACCCGCCTATTAAAAGGGTGCGAGAGCATGCACGAGCCCCCCGCTCCTCGTGCACACTCTGTTTAAAAGTTGCTGTTTGCATCGCTCATACAAGATCACTTTAAAAAGAAGATTTGCAATTTTTGCACCATGTTTTACTCACCATCGGTAAATGAAAATCTGGACGAGCACGTAGAATGGCCTTACATAAACATATCACCAGAATGATTGATGATTAGTAGACCACTTATTTTGGTGATCCACCTGGAAAAAGAACATCCTCCGCTATACCATTAAAGGAATTGTTGTGGATGTTTTAATAGTACTGCCCTGAACACTTAAAAAGAAAATGCCTGTGAAAGAGCATGCATGACCCCATTTCTCCTCATGCACGCCCTGTTTAAAATGTGCTGTTCTCAATGCTCAT